CTTCACGTGTTGTTGTTGAACAATCACTATTACATAATGCGAATGTAGCATGTATATAAGCTGCGAAAAATATCTGACTTGACTTGTTTTTTTCATCAAGTCACAAGTCCAGTCAAGTCAAAAAATTAAAAGCCAAAGTCAAGTCAAGTCAAGTCATGAGTCACCGAAAAAAATTTACAAGTCGAGTCAAGTCAAGTCGCAAGTCATCTAAAAAATTTTCAAGTCAAGTCATCCAAGTCAAAAATGACTTGACTTGACTTTGACTTAAGTCATTTTTAACTTGACTTGCCCATCTCTGAGAAAGACACCTCCAATAAGTCTGCAATTTTTATACGAATTAGTCAAAAACATCGGTAGATGAAAGTTAAGCATTATAAGTTGTCGTTTTACAAACTGTTTTTAACGAGTAGTAACCACTGTTTCACAAGGGCTTTTTAATGAGTACACGAAAATCAAATTAATTTCTCTCTAACAAGATGTTTTTTGCCTAATTCATATAAGAATTGCAAATTTCTTGCAGGAGTCTTTCTCTTTCTTCTTCGTCTAATTTTTATTTACGAATGTGTGACAGATATAAAACAAACACCGTTCGAAAGAGGAGAAAATTTCCTATCAACTGATAACAAAATTTTCTTTTCAAAGCGTGTTTATTAAAGACTTATCCAAAAGATAAATGAATCAACACTGTGTGATGTTTTTCTAAATTACACGAAAAGTGCGGATTTCTTTTGAGGGTGTCTCTCTTTTTTATTGTGCCGTTTCATTTATACACGTGTTATAAAAATAAGTTATATACAATTTGAAAGAAGAGACAAAGCTCTATCTTTTGGTAAAAAATTTTTTCTTTCAGCACCTTTCTATCAAAGTGAAATAGGAGTCAACATTTTGTGCCATTACTTTTGCATCGTATGTTATTTCGAGTATTTCTCAAAATCTGAGGTGGTATATATACCACGCCCGGCACCAAAGGGTTAAAATAACGTCTTTTGATGATAACAATGGCATTTTATCACGAATAAATTTTATTTCATTCATTCAAAAGGAAAATAATAAAAGTTGTTATGTGAATTCATACAAGTCTTATGTATTATTCTTGATAGTACAGAATATTTTTTAAGCTCCACATGGTTCTTTACCTTTACAACCATATCCAGCTTGTCCATCACAAGCATAAACCGCAAATGTTGATATAGTATATTGCCATTCATATCCACCGCCGACAGCTGTAATTGCATATATACAACAACCATAATCTCCAAACGACATATCAACTTGTTGTGGTTTTTGCCAATTTTCTCCATCGAAAATAATCGTATTAAAGTTAGCACAATGTGTACCATTGTAGTACCAATTTGGTTGTACTTTAAATTCAACTTTAACTTGATCACCTAATGAATGAACTGGTGGTCCATTTAATTTTAACTTGAAATGATCTTGACCATCTGGAGTTACCACAAATCCACGTATGGAGTCTATAGTAAACCCTAACAACAGTCAAAATATAATGATATGAATGACGATTAGACAAGTAGTTGAAAATGATTTCTCTTACCAGAATTTGCATTGCCGCAATAAGAAGGCCATTGATTAGGTAAATTGAACAGTTGTTCTGCTTCTGGTGGAATACCAAATGTAAATGACAAATACACTGTATTTATATATCTATATATTTAAACATTTAGATGTTGTTTTAATCAGTCACTAGATAAACCTTACTCGTCAACATCGAAACTACCTTTAGCGGCACGTGCTGTAATTGTTTTAACTGGTGTTTCATCTGCTTCAAAGTAACTTAAACATGGAACTTTACCAATACCAGATCGTTCCAAATCACAAATTTCTGGTGAATCATATCTCTAGAAAGTGACAAAAATTTATTAGAAGCTGGAATAGAGACTGTCTTGGCTCACAATGATTCATTTTTAAAGGGAACAACTTTATGTGTCGAAATAGAAGGACAAAAGCGAAATATATCAACCGTACTAACAAATGAAATTGAAATCTATGGTTGAATCACTACTGTTATCATAAAAATTCATTTTCTGAGTGAAATTTTACTCTTATTTTGTCTCTCTTACACATGAATGCATTTAATAATCTCTCTCTAACCAGTTATTTAAACCACAATGCTAATTGAAATACACACCATTGCATTTTTTTGAATTTCTGGTATCCATTCTTCACCTTTCTTGATGAGATTTGATGGTAATGGAAACCATGGTTTAATATCAATATTACCGTCCTGATTGAGCCACGAAAATGGAAACGGACCTATATCAATCATTGGATTTGTTCTGTACCAACAATCATTCTTTTATAATAAATCATAATGTAAGACAAATAAAAAGAATAAATATTGTTATTACTTTTGTCAATTCTGGATAGTCAGGATTGAAATTAAACATTGTAAAACCTTGTGAAGCTGGCTAAAAAGTTTAATATTAAATGTTCGTTCACTTTATAGCAACAACATTTTCTACTCACTGAACCAGCTTCAGCACCTTCAGGTTTGTATTTAACCATGTAAGTTTCATTTTGTCTTGCTCGCCATCCTCGAACATCAAATCGAGCTCGTGAATTTATAGAATCATAAATCAATAATTGAACATCATCAAATAGTACTGACGAAGATTGTTCACTGATATTGAGTTTTGCTTGAAATTGTTTAGGGAATCCTTTTTGGCATGAACATGTATTCGTTAACAGAACCAACAATGTCAAAAATATAATTTGTTTCATTTTTTCGTAGTTAGAAAAAAAACGATACTTTTTGTACTCTGTAATATCGGCAAGAAAAATAAGGCCTTTATACTTTTTTTTTTAAAGAATATGATAAGATAAAAAGATATCATCGAAATTACAATTTTTTTTCTCCCATCGTCATGCTGATAAAAAGGCAATGGCAGATTTTACATACGCAGCATTGCAAATTATCGCCATTAGTATAAGTTGTATGTCATAGTGATATGTAAAGAGGCAGATTTAAATACACGAACACTCATGATAACTTTTTATAAAATAATCGTGTAGGTTCGAATGGTAATAGACTGCATCAGTTGCTTCACAATGGCATACAAACATCAAACAGAGCGATGGTTTAGAAAAATAAATTATGTAGGATATTTTTTCTCCTTTTTAAATGAGTATATTTATATTCATAAGGGTTTCTGAAAAGTCATCTTCTAAAAGAAAAAAAGCTATTGTGTGAATCTGTGCGTATGTAACTGTTATATCTAATGAATCATTGCGATTCACAAAACCAATAAAGAATAAGTGAATGCACGAATAATCTATCAAAAGCAAACTACATCGTGTAAGTGACCATCACGAGCATACAGTGTAGAATAGTTCAAAAGAAAAGGAAATAATGCTATACAATAATAATGAGAAAAAAAAAATTTCGTATGTGGTTAATCAACAATATTTAATTTTCGTTCTAGTTCTTTGTTCAATGTGTAGAATCTGATCAAAATTAAGTGAGTGTGTACGTTTAACGTGTAATTTAAGAATAAGAATACCTTGAGATCGATACCATTGCATAATATTATCAATACTATTTACTCTTGTTTTAGTCGGTAGATGTTGATCACATTTATAGAGTATAAGTAAAGAACATTGTCTATGATGAGCACGAAACAAAGTTCGTGCTAATCATAGTCGTGTCTTTTGTTCTACACTAAGTTTATTATCAACAAGTTTGTCACGATCACCACTAAGTTCATGATGAGTAAATTTCCATACAAGAATATCGGGTTTTGATGTTCTCTTTTGTTTCACTATATCTTTGTCAATATCGGTAATCGATCTGTAGATAATCAATCGGCTATTCATGTCACCATCTTGTAAAACCATTGTTCGACATTTTTTCAATTCTAGTCTATTGTCAATTTTTATCTTAGCTAAATAATCTTTAATAGATATTGAACCATTTAAAATATCAAAGAATGTTAATCTACCTTAAATACTATCAATAAATCATGAAGTTACAAATGAAATATTTCTCGTTTACCTTCGTATTGAAATGAAGGATCTTTAATTTACACCACCGAACTCGAATATATTCGTTCGGCATTAATGCATTCATCATATTCTTCAACAATGTGTTTAATAAGATCTTAATCTTTTTATCAATCTTAACCAACGTATATAAGAAAATGTATAATATTAGTCATAAATGTTCATCATTTACCAAATAGATCTTCTTTCAATGATAATTTAGCATAAAGAAAATCAAGTAGAAACCATTGTTTTATGTAAAATATAATTTTCAATGTGATGATAAATTTCGAACTTTGTTGCATTTGATCAATCAATACTTCGGTAAGATAAGCTTCTTGGAGCTTTCGTCGAACTTTCGCTTGATAAGGTAATTTAATTTTGATCCAACCAACACTTCATATAGGTTAATTGAATTTCTTTTGAAAATGTTTTCTTTGCTAGATTCTGTTTGATTAGATAATAGGATGTAGCACTCAATCTCAAATATTATTAATAGGATAAGATATTTCAAAGCTACAACAACATTTATTAAAAATGGTAAAAAAGAATGACATATTTAAATAAGTAGTTAATGTTATTGAACTAACATTGAAGGTGAACCATTAAATAAAATCATATGATTTCAAAATAATGATTATATACAAGATTATTCAACGCAATGCCCATGGAAACAAACTTGGGAAAGCACTAGATCACAGTTTTGTTATTGGTATTAATTTCATGTTTCTGCAAGAGGGTGGATGTGAGTACTGTCCTCGTTCACACGCAGGCATACTCAATACACATACCCGTTCATTATTTTCATCTTATTTAATTGTTATTCAACTACAGATGAAAGTGATTTTATTTGAAACAGCTACATAGAAAGTCTTCAGCTATATGATGGATATTTTAGTCGGTGGAAAATGTAATTCCAGAGTTCACTGTGACAAATTTTATCAATGGAGATATACTATGTAAACTAAATTAATATTTTAAAAAATTCAATTTTTTCTGTATTTCTAATTTACACTGCAGATAAACGTAGGTAATGTTAGCACCAGATTCGCGTATTTTCTGTCCCGATTCGCCCCTACGTCTGTGCTGGTTCCCTACTTGGTTGTGCTGGATGCAGAATTTCATTCTCTATCGAATGGTGACAACTTCGGCAGGGGTCATCGAGCAAAAAATAGGGTCCACCACGAAAAAACCGCTTTTTCCTCCATGTGACGAATTCGGNTAGCTGAGGCCTTTATGTGGGCCAGGTTTCAGATCAAAATTCAAAAATATAGCTTTGCTGCAAAAGTGGGGTGCTATAGAAAAAAGACACTAAAAACTCGATATCTCGTCAGAAACAAGCCAGGGGGACGAACTTTTTTTTACCACAGACATAGCTCACTATGGGCTACAAGATGCGCAAAACTCCGGCTGAAAAGCGCTCTGGCACCTGGGAAGGTTCCCTTGTAAGTTAAAAAAAATCACCAACATCAGCAGGCATTCCGAGCGCTTTATGCATTATGACACAGACCCATCTAACATGTCATATAACACAAGGACACATTGGCATTGATATGTTTATTCATTTCAAGAGATCTATTCATCGTGAAATCACCTGAAGAAACCCGTAGTGGGACAGAAACACGTGTTGTGGCATGCTAACCCTCGCCCTCAAGGTAGTTGATGCTGTGATCGCAATGCGTTTGTTTTATTTCAGACAATCATTGTGAGAATGACTCACTGATTCCCTTGGATAGGAACTTACATCGATATCAGCCGCCAAATAGATGCTAAAAATTATATCTTCATTCATGATTATTTATTTTTGTAAGAATAGTCAAGAAACTTATTAATTAAAAGACACAAGGACAGTCTGATTTTGTTAAAGGACATAAACAAATTTTAGTACAATTCTAAATCTGCTACTTCAATGTTACTGCATAAGCAGAGTTCAATTTGCATATCAGTTGCAAACAGCTACAAGAACACCGACATTGTTTGAACCGGCGTTGGCAACAATAAGATCGAGTTTACTGTCTCCATTGACATCCGCTGCTGCCACAGACGCCGGCGAAGAGCCACTTGAATAGGTCACTTGAGCAGCAAACGTGCCATTGCCATTGTTGAGGAGAACACCGACATTGTGTGAAGCATAGTTTGCGACAATAAGATCGAGTTTGCTGTCTCCATTGACATCGGCTGCTGCCACAGACAGCGGCGAAGAGCCAGTTGAATAGGTCACTTGAGCAGAAAATGTGCCATTGCCATTGTTGAGGAGAACACCGACGTCATTTGAACCGAAGTTTGCGACAATAATATCGAGTTTACTATCTCCGCTGACGTCGACTGCTACCACAGACCTTGGGTTAATGCCAGCCAAGTAAGTCACTTGAGCAGAAAATGTGCCATTGCCATTGTTGAGGAGAACACCGACGTCATTTGAACCGAAGTTTGCGACAATAATATCGAGTTTGCTATCTCCATTAACATCGACGGCTGCCACAGATATCGGGGTAGTGCCAGTTGAATAAGTCGCTTGAGCAGCAAATGTACCATTGCCATTGTTGAGGAGAACACCGACGTTATTTGAACCGAAGTTTGCGACAATAATATCAAGTTTGCTATCTTCATTGACATCGGCTGCTGCTACAGACCACGGTAGAGAGCCACTTGAATAGGTCACTTGAGCAGCAAACGTTCCATTGCCATCGTTAAGGAGAACACTGATGTTGTGTGAAGCGTAGTTTGCGACAATAATATCGAGTTTACTGTCTCCATTGACATCAGCCACTGCCACAGACCTCGGGTTAGTACCGGTTGAATAAGTCAGTTGACCAGCAAATGTGCCAGTGCCATTGTTGAGGAGAACACTTACGTTGTGTGAAGCATAGTTTGCAACGATAATATCGAGTTTGCTGTCTCCATTGACATCTGCTGCTGCCACAGAATACGGATTAGAGCCAGTTGAATAGGTCACTTGCGTCGGAAATCTATTGCATGCAGCTATTGCGAAACAAAAGTTGTTATTAGCACCACGATAATTATGAAAAACAATTGCCTTACTTGAGTACTGTTTACTTTCAGAAACTTTACCCAAGCTATTTCAGAGACAACGTGAACGAATATAATGATGCCCACAATCTTGAAAAAAATTTTCTTATCTCCCACGAGCTCAATACTTTTTCTTGTAGTCTATACAGTTTCCATAAGAAAACTACCACTCCACAATCTTAACTAATTCGCAGCAGGCTCTGTGTCCGATTAATGCATTCTTATCGTTGTTTAATCTTTCTCTGGTTTCGCCATGCTGCTTTCAATCTTTTACCATTGGAACTAAACTGAATCTTATCTCAGATTCGATCAGATTAGCAAACTATATGAGCATCTTATCGACCGAACTCACAAGATTTTCCTTGGACACAATTAGTAGGATGATTGACAACATGCTCTCGATAAACCATGATCAGAAAAGTCTCTGGAAAAGAACTTTGGTTGGATGATACGTAAATTCACGTAAGAGATGATTGATGATGTACTGTACTTCACTCAACAGTAGCTACCTCAATGAAGCACTATGAGACTGGCGTAATCAAATGACATTAGTCCCAAAACAACCGTTCTTCTTCCCACCCACAATCACTTGCTCGTTCATTCATTCTCTGAACCAGACAATAACTGTTTTACCCGTGAGTTCATCCTAATAAACATTAAATGATTTGTTTGTCCTTTTCAGAGTCCAAAAACGATAAATTCCTTATTTGGTCTTTTTTTTAAATCTATAGTGGCCAGTCTGCTGCTTCATGAAAACTGGGTAAGAATGAAGAAATCCATGAAGAAAGAAACAAGGAGAAGAAGAAAATCGACAACTTTTGCTATAGCCAAGCTGTCAAACATCTGGAGTGAATATCAGCTTCAGCTTCCGACGAGTTGTTTATCAATCTTTCAAAGAGGAAGCAGCAGATTGAAATCTGAGGAAAATCAAATTCCAGCCGCCGAAATCATCCAAGGTCGCTGCTTCCCTCTTGGATCTATCTCATTTATAGATATATCTCACATCGATCGCTAGAACTTCTTTTACGAGCCCAGTTGTATGAATATTCATGTACATATGCGAATAAAAACGCAAATATTGTCTTACTTGTTGTTGTCGTCGTTTCCGTTGTAGTCGTCACTGTTGTTGCCGTTGTTGTCGTCGCTGTTGTTGTTGCTACTGTCGTTTGAGAGATGCTGATCAAGACGACAAGCATTGCAACAATGCCTATGGCGGGCAGGAGAATAGCAAGTAGAGATAGGAATAAACAGATAGGTGAATATTGGCAACGAATGTGTTTAAAGTAGCTAAGTGAACGAGTTTTAAAGCTTAATAAGAAAAAATGTAAAACAATTATTTACTGTTTCTTTTTATTCTTGTTCGACACTTGGTGACGGATATCCCGAAAATCCGCTGCATTTGATCGTGAGCCAGTTGCCTGAATTAATTTAAAAGATGAATATAGACAAAAGAAAAGGAATAAATAGTTCCATTTTCGTTTCAGTGTTATCATCGAATCAAGTAGAATTATGTGTAATTATAACTCAAATGCAAATATAGCCCATTGAGACAAAAATAATTTTATATGTAACTAATGGAAATGGAAATATCATCAGGATTAAGTCACTTTAGTTTCTATCAATAAATACTTATTGACTATTCGTTATCTTTCTAAAATATATTCTAGAAATGCCTTCAATCCATCATATCTGACTTTTGATCAATCTGTAACCTGTTTTCTGAGGCAGGTATTTTTGACGGAATCGGGAAAAGTTCAATTAGAATATAGAAATTAACTAAGAAAAAGGCCGTTGAAATACATGTAACATGATAGTAGTTTCTTGCGTTTCCAATCTATATTCAGTACTTCCATTGTGAAATACTTTTTTTTATCGACGTAGATGCTATGTAAACGAAAACATTCCCAGTTTGTTTTCTGCAAACGATGCTCAAAGGAAAACATTTTTCCTTGAAAACCCGCCAAAAATACAGTTTTTGCGCAACAAGATCCTAAAGTTTTCTACTAGTAGTTCTGTTATCATTCTATTCTTTTTCAATAATTTTTTTTAGAGATAAATTCTATTTCTTACAATTAGCTGTGGTATGGTATTAACATACGTTACACATTGATCAAAGAGAAAAAAGTGTAGAAAGCATACATAAAAATCGTTCACTTACAGAAAAACATTAGATTTTTATTACAGTTGTCATTCTCTCAGTCTGCAGAGTCACTTCATTAAGAGTTTAGGTAAGAGAGTATATGGTCAAACATACTAGTTGCATACAAATGTGCTTATTAGGCTTAACAATTGTTGAACACTCTTTCTCCATCGAATTTTGTATGAAACTAGAATTTTTGGCCGTTTCTAAAATTCGACCAAAATGTATATATTTCAAATAAGAATTTGTTCGTAGATAGAACGAAAACTAAATAATTCGCAGATCTTCAATAATAAATACTTAGGTATATACTACCTAATAATGAGCATGCTTCTCATTTTGCTATCTTACCTGTATTGGTGACTGGAAATATAGATTAATTTTGGTGTCATTGTCGGTACGTGTTCGATTGTTTACTGATTTACCAAAATGTTGACTGATAATTTGCTTGGCAGATTTATTCTGGGAAGAGGCATCTCTCAAATATTCCTTTTTTCCTTCCTCCTCCCCTCCAATCACAGCTACCTGGGATTTACCTTGATGATAACGCGTAGTTAGCATAGTTGACATCTGTTTACACAAAGAGAAAACATGAATAATCAAAGATTTTAAGAATATAATAACCGGGGAAAAAATGTCTTGAGGATTGGCAGACTGATTTTTTGTCGAATGGATTTTATTTTTGGGTGATTGAGTGGTTACATGGATAACAGAACGAGATCGCATATCTTTTGTCAATTAATGATGATACTAGATTGAATGACTCGTAAGAAAATAAACAGAAATCGTAATGATGAGTTACGCACTTGATGAAAAAGTTTGCGGACAGATGGTATCGATAGCGGAGGATAACGTGGAATATTGTGCGAATCTACAAGTGTAGTTATAAATACTGGATAAGAATGATTACCCTGTGTTTTGCTATGTTTATCGACTTGATCTTGATTGTAGTGTGCGAATGTGTTCGATAAGAAAATGGGCATTTGTAGTTCACTTCACTGATGCATCATTGTATTATATATTGCAGGCAGGAGAAAAATAATTAGTAGATAAATATGCATGATGTAGGTTTCTTCAGTGTGAGACGATGTATGCTATAGAAAGGCTTCTTATAAGCCGATATGAGCCACTCTGATTTCATCAAATAAATGTTCTACCGGAAAAAATTGAATTAAGATATTTTTCTTTTTTTTTTATATCTAATACAAAGTTATGGATTTCATTTGCATAAAATTACTGCGCAAGCGAGAGTGAATTGAAAATGTCACTCACCCCCTCCCTCCGCTTTCTTGAAATCTCACTGACAATACTTAGATTTTTTTTACTTTTGTATGCAACACACAAAGAAAAGTCGTAAGCTTCGTATCACTTCGAATCACTGGTCTTTGAATCCTGTGTGACTTGTTGTAGAAGACCTGTAGGTGATAATTGGAATCATATGATAGTATATTTGAATAGTAAGGAGTTAAATCAGCCTACGCTTCTTTCGATTTAAAATTGAAATCGAGAATAGATATTCATAAATAGTTTTCAATAGTAGGATAGAATCGATGGAACTTTCTTTCAATTTAGATATGCAAGTATTTTATTTCTCAATGCAAATATTGTGATTAAACTCAACAATGTCAAACGAGCTTGAACATTAGTGTACTGTAATGATATTGTTTTGAAATCAATCAGAAATGAAGCGCACAGATGATTCATTGCCACTCATTTCGATCTCAGTTTATTTGTTGTATAAAGAAAAAAAGAAAAAACAATTAAATCGAAAGAAACGCTTCCTTTTGGCTTCATATTCAATGCAACACACAACTCAATCTTCGGAATAATAAAATATAGAATTGTTACGTATTTCTCTTTTTCTTTTTTACTTTTACTGCTCGAACCCTCATGTGATACTTTGATGCGAGCGGAACAGCAGCGTGATGGTATTACAGAACGAAACAAAAGAATAATCTTCCTTCACATGGAATCGAACCATACATCTCCTGCTTTCCGGACAGTCGTATTAACCACTGTACTAGAAAGGAGTGTATCTTATTCTGATTGTTTCATCTTATGAATGAAGGGGAACACTTCAATTCATAACAAGAATTGTATTGAAATTGAATTGCGTATGAGATAGTAAGGCAAGGGGGAAAAAGCGGATCCTGGATCCTACAGTTCCTAATGGATTCTACAGATCCTTTAGGATCCTCTAGGATCCTTTTGGATTCTCTTGGATTCTTTTGGATCCTCTTGGATCCTCTTGGATCCTGATAGATCCTACAATATCCTTACGAATGTATTTCAACATTATTAATAATGATTTTGTCAATTGAAGACTCTTACTGGTATCTCATAAATGATTTATAAGTCATATTAAACAAAAAAGTGCTGCTTTGTAACAATTTCTACTACTGTACTCTTAATTACATATGCACCTATACTTTGAGAATAAAGCCTTTGAGCCAATAGAATTTGATAACAAAGCTCTAAAAAGGTACGTTGTCCCTGAATATGACTTTATATCAAGAAAAAAGATGATAATGTATGCTCATATTGCGCAATTTTCATAGTTTACAGGAAAACCTGGTAAACATTGAATTGTTAACAAATATATGTGCGTCATTTTTTTATTACAATTTGTACACAAAGTAGAAATGAGCTTGAACTTCTTCCAGGTTAGTTCATTATTTGTATAGGATCATAGATATACTGAACAAAGTAAAAGAGTACGAACTGACTTAATTGGACCATTCACATTTAAATGGTCTTACTTCAATATCTTGTTCAATATCTCACATTGAACTAATTTATTGCATTTGAAATCTAATAAAGATATTATTTATATTTCTTTTTTTGATGAAACCATGTATTAATTATCAGGACAAAAAGAAAATCTAACGATTATTTCTGAGTATTGAATAAATTCAATCTGACAGCTTTTTCATTTTTCAGAAGTAAAATATTCCATCATTATAATGTCAATTGATCTTAATAACTTATCTGATGGTGTCTTATCCTATTGCAATGATCGTTTATACAAGTTTATCGAAGAAAATCTTGGTATTGATGAAATGATGGTAATTAAAATGCAATCTATTAATAGTGTTAGAACATTAATAAATGTCCCAGATATCATAGCTTTTTTAAGTTTTAATTCTAAAGAAATAATTGAATTAAAAAGTCGTATTTGTTTTATTGATGAAGATAATAAACGATTTATGGTCAAAGCTGGAATTCAAACCAATATTGATAATTTAATATCAGTACTTAAAGATAAAAGAAAAAAACAAACAAAACGAAGAAAAACTTCCAAATTATCATCACAATCATCAATACAATTAAATGGCGATCTCTTCAATGCATCTGCATCAAATATGTCTAATTCAGCTTCTATTGATTCACAATTAACACTAGTATTTTCAACAACACCTAAAATCAATTCACCAAGTTATTACATACAAAAGATTTCTGATAGTATTGAAAAATTCTGTGTCAATACATTCGAAAAATTTATTCTTAGCAATTTAGTTGATTATGAAATTCATGTGAATATACTAGATGCAGATATTAATGGGTGCATTAAATGTGGATGTAATACAACTATTAAAATTGTTTTTCGTTCAAAATCAAATTCATTTCAACTTTCTGCTTATTTAAAGCATTTAAAGAACAGTCGTTGTACAATGATCAAAAAGAAAAAACAAGGATTCGATAAGCTTTCTAGCATCAACAATAACTTATCGAATTTCGTCTTACAGGATGATGATAATNCGCCAGTTGAATAGGTCACTTGAGCAGCAAACGTGCCATTGCCATTGTTGAGGAGAACACCGACGTTGGTTGAACCCTCGTTTGCGACAATAATATCGAGTTTGCTGTCTCCATTGACATCGGCTGCTGCCACCGAAAACGGGTTATAGCCAGTTGAATAGGTCACTTGAGCAGCAAACGTGCCATTGCCATTGTTGAGGAGAACACCGACGTTGTTTGAACCCTCGTTTGCGACAATAATATCGAGTTTGCTGTCTCCATTGGCATCGGCTGCTGCCACAGACCACGGGCCAGAGCCAGTTGAATAGGTCACTTGTGTCGGAAATCTATTGCATGGAGCTATTACGAAACAAAAATTGTTATTAGCACCAATATAATTATGAAAAACAATTGCCTTACCTGAGTATTGTTTACTTTCAAAAATGTGACCCTAGCTATTACCAAGACAATGTAGCGAATAGAATAATGCCCAGTCTTGAAAAATTTTTTTTTATTGCCCGGGAAGCTAAATACTTTTTCTTATAGTCTATACAGTTCCCATGAGAAAACTACCACTGTACAATCCTGACTAATTCGCTGCAGCTCTGTTTCCGATTAATGTATTCTTATCGTCGTTTAATCTTCCTCTGGTTTCGTGATGCTCCTTTCAATCTTTTACCATTGGAACTAAACTGAATCTTATCTCAGATTCGATCAGATTAGCAAACAATATGAGCCCCTAATCGGCCGAATTCGCAAGATTTTCCTTGGACACAATTAGTAGGTTGATTGACAACATGCTCTCGATAAACCATGATCAGAAAACTGTCTTGAAAAGAACTTTAGTTGGATGATACGTGCATTTACGTAAGAGATGATTGATGATGTACTTCACTCAACTGTGAGTACTTCGATGAAACATTGCGAGAATGACGCAATCAAATGATATTAGCCCCAAAACAACCATTCTTCTTTCCACCTACAATCACTCGCTCGTTCATTCTTTATTTGGACCAGACAATAACGGTATTATCCTTGAGTCCATCCAAATAAACACTCAATGATTTGTTCATCCTTTTCACAGTCCAAAAACGATAAATTCCTTATTCTGACTTTTTAAAAATCTATAGTGGCGAATCTGCTGCCTCACGAAAACTGGGCAAGAATGAAGAAATCAATGAAGAAAGAAATGAAGAGAAGAAGAAAATTGACAGCTTCTTCTATAGCCAAACTGTCGAACATCTTGACTGAATATCAGCTTCAGTTTCTGAAGAGTTGTTCATCAATCTTCTAAGGAGGAAGCAGCTGATTTAAATCTGCCAAAAATCAAATTTGAGCCGCCCAAATCGCTGCTTCCCTCTTGGACCTATCTTAGTTACAGATATATCTCACATCAATCACTAGAACTTCGTTTACGAGTCCAGTTGTATGAATATTCATGTACATACGCGAACAAAAATGCAAATGTTGCCTTACTTGTTGTTGTTGTTGTTGCTGTTGTTGTTGTTGTTGTTGTTGTTGCTGTTGTTGTTGATGTTGTTGTTGTTTTTGTTGTTGTTGTTGTTGTTGTTGTTGTTGTTGATGATGTTGTTGTTGTTGTTGATGTTGTTGTTGTTTTTGTTGTTGTTGATGTTGTTGTTGTTGATGTTGTTGTTGTTTTTGTTGTTGTTGATGTTGTTGTTGTTGTTGTTGCTGTTGTTGTCGTCCCTGTTGTTGTTGCTGTTATTGTCGTTGTAGAGATGCCGATCAAGGCGACAAGCATTGCAGCAATGCCCGCGCCAAGAAGAAGAAGACCAAGTAGAGACAGAATTATACAGACAGGTGAACGTTGGCAACGAATGTGTTTAAAAAAGCTAAGTGAAACATTTTTAGAACTTAATAAGAAAAAATGTAAAACAATGATTTACTGTTTCTTTGTACTTATGTTCGACGCTTGGTGATGGATATTCTGAGAATCCACTCCATCTGACAGTGATCCAGTTGCCTGGATTAATTTAAAAGATGAATATAGACAAAAGAAAAAGGATAAACAGTTTCATTTTGGTTTCAGTTTTATCATCGAATCAAATAAAATTATTTGTAATTAATAATAACTCAAATGCAAATATGACCCATTGGGACAAAAATAATTTTATATTTAACTAACAGAAATGGAAATATCACCAGGTCTAGGTCACTTTAGTTTTTACCAATAAATACTTGTTGACCATTCATTATCTTTCTAAAATATATTGCCGAAGCTCCTTCGTTTTATTATCTGACTTTTGATCAATCTCTAGCCTGTTTTCTAAGGCAGGTATTTTTGACGGAACCAGGAAAAGTTCAATTACAATATGGAAACTAACTAAGAAAAAGGCTGTTGAGATACATATAACATGATAGTATTTCCTTGCGTTTTCAATCCCTATTCAATACTCCCCTTTTGAAATACTTTTTTTCGACATAGATGCTATGTAAACGAATACATTCCCAGTTTGTTTTATGCAAACCATGCTCAAAGGCAAACATTTTTCTTGAAAACACGTCAAAATGCAGTTTTTGCGCAACAGAATGCTAAAGTTCTCTAGTTCTATTGTCATTCTATCCTTTTTTCACTAAATTTTTTAGATATAAATTGTATTTCTTAAAATTAGCTGTTGTATGGGTTCAAATTACGTTGCCCATTGATGAAAGGGAAAAAAGTGTAGAAAGCATACATAAAAATCGTTTACTTGTGGAAAAACATTAGTCTTTTATTACAATGATCATTCTCTCAGTCTGGAAAACTACTCCATTAAGGGTTTAGCTAATAGAGTATGTGATCAAACATACTGGCTGCACACAAATATACTTATTAGGGTAAAAAATTGTTCAACACACTCTCTATCAAATTTTGTATGAAACTAGAACTTTTGACCGTTTCTAAAATTCGATGAAGATGTATGTACTTCAAATAAGAACTTGTTCATAGAACGAAAACTAAACAATTTCCAGATCTTCAATAATAAATATTTAGGTGTATAGAATCTAATAATGAGTATGCTCCTCATTTTCCTATCTCACCTGTATTGATGACTGGGAATATTGATCAATTTTGGTGGCATTGTCGGCAGATGTTTGATTGTTTACTGATTGACCAAAATTTTGTTTGACAATTTGTTTGGCAGATTTATCCTGGGCTGTTGCAAAGACATCCCGGTGGGGCGGGGGGTCACCTTTCATATATTCCTTCTGCCCTCTTTCCTCCTGTCCCCCCCCCCTCCCCCAGCCCCCATCACGGCAGCCTGGGGTTTATCCTGATGATAACGCGCAGCCAAAATAGTTGATTTCTATTTACATAAAGAGAAAATATAAATAATCAAAGATTTTAAGAATATGACCGGGAACAAAATGTCTTGAGGATTGGCAGACTGATTGTTCGTGGGATGGATATTATTTTTTGGTGATCTGGTGGTTACATGGATAACAAAACGAGATCGCATATCTTCTGTCAATGAATGATGATACTAGATTGAATGACTCTTAAGAATAGCGACAAACATTGCAAAGGTGAATTACGCACTTGATGAGAAACTTTACCGACAGATGGTACCGATAACGGAGGATAAAACGGAATATTGTGTGGATCTGCAAGTATAATTAACAATACTGGATAAGGTTGATTACCCTCTGTTTTGCAAGGTTTATCGACTTGATCTTGATTGTAGTGTGCGATTGTGTTCGACAAGAAAATGAGCGTTTGTATTTCACTTCACTGATGCATCGTATTATATATTGCAGACAGGAGAAAAAGAATCAGTAGATAAGTATACATGTTGTAGGTTTCTTCAGAATGAGGAGATGTATGCTATACAAAGGCTTCTTGTATGCAGATATGAGGCATTCAGATTTCATCAAATAAATTTTCTAACGAAAAAAATTGAATTAAAAAATTTTTATTTTTTTACATCTAATACAAAATCATGAATTTCGTATAAATAAAATTTCTGCGCCTGCGACAGTGAATTGAAAATGTCACTCACCCGCGCCTCCCCCCTTTTCTTGAACTCCCGCTCACAATACTCAGATTTTTTTACTTTTGTGTGCAACACGCAAAGAAAAGTCGCAAGCCTCGTATCACCTCGAATCACTGGGTTTTCAATCCCGTGTAACTTACTGTAGGAGACCCATAGATGATAATTGAAATCATATGGTAGTATATTTGAATAGTAAGGAACCAAATCAGTCTATGGTTTTTTTCGATTTAAAGCTGAAATCGAGAATAGATATTCACAAATAGTTTTCAATAGTAGAGTAGAATCAATGAAATGTTCTTTCAATTGAGATATGCAACTATTTTATTTCTCAATGCAAACATTGTGATTAAACTTAACGATGTCAAACGAGTTTGAACATTAGCGTACTGTGACGATATTCTTTGAAAATCAATCAGAAATCCACCGCACAGATAATTCGTTGCCAGCCCTTTTCACTTCGGTTTATTTCTTATATAAAGCAAAAAGAAAAAATAATTACATGCAAAGAAGCGTTTCCTTTTTGGCTTCTTATTAAATGCAACACACAACTCAATCTTTAGAATAATAAATAGGTGTCTATGTCAGGGTTGTCGATTGTTGTGAAATGTGGGAGGGGCAAAAAATTTGCCAGAAAGTCGAGAAATTTTGGCAGAAAGTACCTCCTTTTACCTGCTGCTAGTAACCGAACAAGTAATGCTAATTTTGTCAACTTTCTGCGAGATTTTGTTGAAAAAAAAAAGTGTTTTTATTCGATTTTCTGCCAGAAAAATGGCAAAAAGTGCTTAAAAACCGGGTTTCTGCCAGAATTTACAACGAGACTTTTATAATATGGCAGAAAGTGTCGGATATTTGACAGAAAATCGGGCGTGTTTTCAATTTTTGCTGGAGCAAATAAAATAGTTGCATATCTCAATTGAAAGAACATTTCATTGATTCTACTCTAC